CTGACAAGTAGCAGCTATCCACTATTTCTCATTGGCCAATAGGTAGATAAGAGGCACCACAAATAAACAAACAAAAAAAGTATGCATCCTTAATTTAATTTGACAAGTATTTATTAAATACCTACTATGTATCATATATTGTATTAGGTGCTATGTAAATAAAAGCAAAAATTAAATCATCCTGCCCTCAAGGAGCTTATATTCTACTGGGGAGAGAGTATGCATACAAATAATATAAAAAATATACAAAGTAACTTCAAGGGGAAAAAGAACACTAACAAGTGGGGCGGGGGGTCCCCGGAATCAGGAAAAGCTTTGTATAGTAGATGGCATTTGAGCTGAAGCTTGAAGGGAGCTAGGAAAAAGCATCACAAATGAAGTCCATTAATGAGCAGCAATTCTTATGCCCTTCAAAGTCAAATTCAAGTCCCATATCCTCTACTTCCTCTCCTCTCTCTTCTATAGTCTGGGTTCTGAACTCATCATTCAATTGAAACTACTCTCTCCAAAATTACCAATAATTTCTTAATTGCCAAATCCAATTGTCTTTTCTTAATTCTCATCCTTCTTGACCTCTCTGAAGCCTCTGACACTGCTGATCACTCTACTCCTTGATACTCTAAGTTTTTGGGACATGACTCTCTCCTGGCTCTTCTCCTACCTATCTAACTGCTCCTTCTCAGTCTCCTTTGATGGCTCTCTATTCACATCATCCCTGCTAAGCACATGTGTCCCACAAAGTTCTATCCTTAGCCATCTTCTCTTCTTCCTTTATACTATTTCACTCAGTGATATCATCACTTCCCACAGATTTAATTATCATCTTTATATTTATGATTCTCAGATCTACTTACTCAGCCCTAACCTCTCTGCTGAACTTCAGCTTTGCATCTCCAACTGCCCATTAGACATCTCAAGCTGGACATAATATAGATATCTTAAACTCAACGTTTCCAAAACTGAACCCATTATCTTCCCCCTGCCAAACCTTCCACATTTCCAAATTGTCCCATTACTGCAAAGGTATTCTTCTATTCCTCCTCCAGGCTTGAAACCTAGATATCATCTTCAATGCCTTACTAAATCCCTTCCCCCATATCCAAACTATTGCTAAGATCTATCAATCTCACCTTTGAACAACTCTCAAATACACCCCTCCCTCTCCTCTGATATTATCACTATCCTGATACAGATTCTGACCTCCTTGTGCCTGGACAACTGCAATAGCCTGTTGGTTGATCTGCCTGCCCAAAGTCTTTCCCCACTCTAGTCCATCGTCTACTCAACCACTAAAATAACTTTTCTAAAGTGCAAGTCCTATTCAATAAATTCTGTTGGTTCCTTATTACTTTCAGGATTAAATACAAAACCTTCTGTTTGGCATTCAAAGCCTTTTATAACTTAACCCCTCCCCTCAACTTTCAGGTTTTCTTAGGCTGGCCCTTCTCCATGTACATTTCAACCCAATGACACTATCTCCTTGTTCTTTCTCACACAACACACTCCATCTCCCAGCTCTGGGTGTTTTGACTGGCTGTCTCCCACACCTAGAAGGCTCTCTCTCTTAATCTCCGACTCTTGGCTTCCCTGGCTTTCTTCATTCAAGACCCAATTTAAATTCTACCTTCTACAGGAAACCTTTCCTAATCTCTTTTAATTCTAGTGCATTCCCTCTGTTGATTATTTCTTATTAATCCTGCATGTAACTTGTTTGTATATAGTTGTTTTCATGTTTTCTCCATCAGATTATGAGCTCAAGCGCAGGAATTGTTTTTTGCCTTTCTTTAAATCCCACAGTGCCTTGCACATAGTAGATATTCAATAAATTTTTACTAACTGACAAACTGACATTTAGCATCAGCTTATAAGTTTAGCTTAATAATTCGGCAATAAAGAATTTTATCTCACTTATTTTTCCTGTAATCAGAACATACTGTCACCAAAGCATAATAGGCCCATTAATAAATATGGTCCAAATTACAGGGCAAATGTTTTAAATGAGATCCAGATCACAATCATGAAAGCTCCACTGAAAAACAAATGAATAAAATTTCATCTTTTTTCAATAGTGTTTTGCCTAATTTAGGTGTAACACATGGTAAATTCTGAATTCTTTCCTTTTTAATCTATTTATAGCTTTCTGGATTAAACGTGTCTCCTATAAAATATATTGCCATATTTTATCTTTCTTTTAATTTAAAACTATAAGTTTATTACAGCAGCCTAATATCAAATATTTAGCAGTTAAGGAAATGATACTTTAAAGAAACAAACACCGGTGTGTTTGTTCAGTTTTGTTTTGTTTTTGCCTTTTTGGTGAGGCAGTGGGGGTTAAATGACTTGCCCAAGGTCACACAGCTAGTAAGTGTCATGTGTCTGAGGCCAGATTTGAACTCAGGTGCTCCTGACTCCAAGGCTGGAGCTCTATCCATTGCGCCACCTTGCACAAAAACACATTTTGATAACTTTCTCAAATATCTGTAAAAAATGACCTTCATGACAGCTCATTCTATCCATGGTTTCATCTTAAGATAGTTTCTATAGGCACGGTCTCGTTTAAAAACTGATTAGAATACACCTAATTCATACTCTGAGTATGAAACTTAAAACTATCAGTCTGGTTTCCTGAACCCATATGCTTCCAACCAATCAACTCTGAGTCAAGAAAACAGAAAGATTCACATATTCATAGCCAATATGTTTCAGCAACAAGATACTTCTGTAACTAGCCTATTCTGATTTTTTAAAATCAATTTCTGTATTATTCATTTGGAACTTATCCCTCAACTTGTCTGCATTACTGGAATCCCATCTTATTTTACCCCCACCCCCCATTCTCCATCATGAATGTATTCCTCTTCCACAGTCCTGCCCAATGTCTCAGGTCCTCTGGAACCAAAAGGCCCCTCTTGGTCTCATCAGTCTGTCCAGAGGCTAGCAAATTCCTCTGTATCATAGCCTATGGGCCACATTACTGGCTGGGAGACCAACAAACACTGACTACCTGCATACCTGAACTAGAAGTACCTGCCCTGCAACCACCTTGACAACATATTTCACATGCCTGCCAGGAAACTCTCCTGCTGCCCACTGTTACCTCTGTTAATATGCCCATTGAGATTTCCAACTAATGTTTGCTGCCACACTTCAGACATTCCAACCATTTGTCAAGATTTCCTTGATGTATCTACTACTGGCTCCATTCTGGACGGCATGCTCTGTTTTTATTGACTTTCTTTAGTCTCAAGGTTCTGGCCACCTACAACTGCCCCATCTAACAGTCATTTAGCCACAGTGCTAAATAATGAAAAATTTCTCTTAAGACTAATAAATTCTTCTAAGACTTTGGACTACTCCGACAACAAAATTCTTTCACTATCCTATGCTAGACAAAGCAGTGAATGAAGAGGCAGGTCATCTAGGTTTCAAGTCACTGATTAAAGTCTTTTAACCTCTTTAGATTTGTTTCCTCATGTAAAATGAGAGGACTGAATTAGAGTATTTCGAGGGTCTGTTCCTACATTATACTTCTACAACTCTAATTCCATTAGCTACTTGTGACTTTTCCTGTCCATAAGTGACTCATCCTATATATACAACAGGTAATTTTAAGTCAGAAGGAGGTCAATTTATATTTCACTATACAGTAAAACATCTCCCTAATATTTCCATTACTTTCTTACACTCATCTTTAAGTTTTTTCCACTGTATCTATAAGCAATAACTGACTAAGACTACTGCTGCTCATCTGCAACTCTGATAAAATGTCTTTGACAAAAGAAGTATTTTTCTATAAATACTTCTCTACTTATTAGCTAGCTGTTTGACTTTGGATTAGTCATTTCCCTTTGATGAGCTTCAGTTTCTTCAAGCAATATTTGCCTCCTGACTATTTCACAAGATTTTAAAGATCAAATGAGATAATATATATAAGCACTTCACATGCTATATAAACCTACACTATTCTTATTATTATTAAATTCACTTTCCACTATGGTTTTGAGACTACATGAAGTATATTAAAATGACACTACTTACCATTTTAGAAATGACTTTTCATGATAATATGTATTATATGTAACAAATAGCTTAGAAAAGGATTGTATGTGATCTCCAGGACTGGTAACTGTAATGATCTCTTGTGTAGAATATTCAAGTAATAACTAATAAATTACAATCAGCTCCCAATTCTAGCATACATTTTCAATAATAGTCCTTCTTGTGATCTCATTTCTGGTTCCTTAAGTATTTTTCAATAGAATCTCTCGCTGATTTCACAGGCATGTATGAAAATTCTAAGCAATATTACCCACTTCATATTTTCCTCAACTGTTTAACCACAGCCCTGGTATATTTTCTGAAATCCTTAAAAAAACCATTTACAGTACTGTGCTCTCTCGCTATAGTATCCAATTTGACAAAATTCTTAAATATACATTAAATATGCATTAGGTAATGTTGCCTAATTGCCTAATTGACCTCATGATCAATATATTATTGCTACTTTGTCTTAGCAGCAATTTACTTAGTTTTAGAATTCAGATGATAAATATTGTAAAAATAGCCTTAAAAGTTTTTTAAAAACAAACATTTATCATTGGTTAGTATTTTTCAGTGTATTAGCCTGATGATATAAATCAGGCCAGACAAAACTGAAAAATTTCAATTTAGTGAAAAATTCTTCAATTTGCACCCCATACCCCCATCAACAGGCTGTTGTTACTAAATGTGCCCAGGATATAATTGCCAAAGTATGAGTGTTTCAGGGTATAAAACAAATCCATCAAAAAAGTTCAGCCCTCTCCATCAAATCTAGAAAATGAAATAAGACTATATGGAACAGAAATAAATTAAATAGTAAACTGAGAGAGTTTTTCAAGGGTTATTATTTAAAGCAAAAATGGAAAATGTTGTAAGACTTAGGTGGGGCTATTTAACCAATTAAGGTGGATTTTTAAAAACAGATCACTTGCATCAGTCTTAATGAAAAGATTACTTACCAAGTTGGCCATATAAATTGTTAGCAGACCTCTCCTGTAAGTATTAAAAAAAAAAAAAAAGGAAAGGGACAGTAAGATTCCGTATCAATCTGACTTAACATTAAATATAAATTAATACAATGTAGTGGAAAATTATGTCAAGATTAATAACAGGGTGCTTGAATAAATATTCTTGACTGCCAAGAGTTAAATTGCTAGTATTGATTTTGGAATTCTTACAGTTCAATTAAAAGGATTTTTAAATAAATTATGTTTAGCAGTCATTAATATGAATTATGAAAATTTAACTAAAAAGGACTTTTACTATTGAAAAGTGCTTAAGCAATCAATCATACTAACTAAAATACTGCAGGGTATAGCATCAAATTTGTTCTTGGTGTACATTTACGCTGGAGATTTCAGAGTGTGAGAAAAAGTCAAATAGTTCATTCCTTGTCCAAAAACTCAAGAGTTAAGATAACTTAATCAGTATGTAAATGCATTCAAAAATAAAAGGAATACTTTTATTTACTTTACACTGATACACTAAACATAGAAATCTATTATATACAGTGACTCTACATTAAATATTCATTCAATCATTCTGATTTTCACAATCAAGAAAAAACTCAGTAACTGAGTAACTCTCACAGCTATTCACTGACATTGCATGATCTTTCAGTGCATAGAAATGTAATAAATGTCCTACATAAAGGGAAAGCCCTGCAAAAATGCACGAGTAATGTTATAACCCCTTCAAAGAAATTCCTTAGCCCAAAAGGTAAGAGACTAAAGTAAGCCCTCATTTATGGATGGATAGATAGATAGATAGATAGATAGATAGATAGATAGATAGATAGATAGATAGA